GTGAGACAGAGTAAAAAAAAATATATATATATATATATATATATATATATATATATATATATATATATAACATATGAGCAATTAACCAGTAAGAACTAAAAGTATTAACATTTTTATTTTAAAATGATGAAAATAAAATACTATAATTAGAATTTGTTTGTTTTCTAAAAATTAAAAATATATTTAACTTGTTTTTAAGCTCGAGTTATAGAATTTATTTTTCTTCAAGTGTAAAAGTTTACATATACTCCTATACTTAGTGTTGATGACATTAAACTTACTATTTACGTACAGGTTGACGAACTTTCCAACTTGAAGCAACTTATTAACATGTGTTTGATTCAACATCCACAAGACCAAGTTGATGCAAATGTTACGTTAATTTCGAAAAATAATGCAGAAGCAACTGCTTATTATTTCTGATATGATGATGCGTGTTTACGGCTGAAGACAACCATTCAAACATGTTAAACTATGATTCTCTTCATAAATTTTTTCGAGTACCACCACTGATTATATTGATAATGGTTTGTGTCACTTGAACAAGCGGTCCAATGTTATACGTAAAATGTAACTATATAGGATAAATGCTACCCAAAAGGATTTAAAAGTACTTCAACTCTCAAATGGTTTGTTAATAATAATTAAGTATTAGTTCACTATTGATTTTTTGAGTGGGTAATAAAAAGCCTTTAATTTCCTCTCCAACAGACACACTCAGCAGTGAAGAATATATGATATTCCCATTTGAACACATCCCCATAATAGTGGTGGAATTGTTTAAAGAAGAAGGTTACCTGATGCACATGTTTAGGTCCCCCCATTCCCTAAAACTCTTACGTACACGTGCTGCTGAGTGTATGACCACAAATACCTTGAAATCTTTCTTTAGTATATTCCTTGGCCAACACTTGATTCCCTTTCAACTTTGAGTTTGAGATTGAGCTAGCTGCTTCAAATTCAAACATGGTTTTAGGTTTTAACTCATCGCATTCCTATTCTGGTGAGATTCCCAACATGGATTAGTCAACGCCGAGTGCCAAAAAGTATTCCAATAATGTCTACTTTTTACATTGCTTACTTTAATAATTTGTTTTTGAATAAAACTTGGTGAAACTAGTCTAAGACTACGCCTTATAAACGCACACTCATCAACTCCAACGTTGCTGTGTCATAAGGTTTTAAATTTAAATAATGTTCGTTGGGAACTTGGGAGAATGAATTTAATTCTTTTTTCCTTTTAGGGAATACACTTGAGTAACACCATCAATGTGTCATCAGATAATTCTTTTTAACCCCAAAATTAGTTAAATTTCTGGTTTTACGATGTTTTAATAAGTAACCCTAACGAGTTATAGCATGAAAAAGAAATATTAGCATAACGCTTTTTTAAACACATTCACGTGAAATTTATTAAAAAATATATAATTTAGTAGGTCTTATATTCTATTTAATAATTTTTTCTCATAATTTTATAATTTTTAATAAATTATAATTAATAAAAGTAAAAATATATCAAGAGAAATGTGCTAAAGATTATGTTGTAAGTGCTCTTCAAACTATGAATGAGTCATAGAGACTCTCTCTAGAGTGGATATAGTTACATGGTTGGGGCTTGGCTTTTTCTGAATTTTTATTAATTTAAAAACTTATATATATATATATATATAATATATATTATTTAAAATTATTCTAGTTATTTTTATTTGGGATGATTGTATAACTAATAACGTTTATTTTGACAAAATAGTTTATTCTCTTTCGTAGTATTTAATATGAAAATAGTGACATTTTTTTATTATTTAAAACAAATATATTATATTATTTAAGTTTTATTTATTTATTTATTTAAAATTATTTTCCTTTTATAATAAATTGTTGTTATTTTAAAGATAATAGATTAAATAGCATAATTCACTATAATTTAGTGAATTTTTATAACATAATTAATAAGATTTTTTCATGAAAATTACTATCAATGCATTTAATTGTGTATATAATTAATAGGGTTTTTTTATAACATATTTGATGCTTAGTTTTCTTGTGTGTGAATACTTTTTTGTTATATGTTTGGATTGTATTTGAAAATGTATTTTTATCAATACTTTATATAAAATTTGATACTTATATATATACTTATCCGATGAATTTAATTTAATATTTATCGTTCTTCCTCCTGCCATTTAAATTTGGATCAATCATTCCACCCTCTGCCTTTTGACACTGCCCTTTTCGTTTTTTTTTTTTCTTTCTAACATGTATGGTTTGCTATAAGATAGAAATATTTATATGTTGAGGTCTATGTTTACAATTATGTTAAATATTCAGAAAAAAGTTTCTCAACTTATAATAATCTTACTCAACTCAAACAACATTACTTTATATAAAAGATAAATTAGATCTATAAATAAAATGTCGAGAATGCATCGAAACACCGTAATTTTTGTGTAAAATAAGAATTTGAAGTAAAAATATTGACAAATGTATATATTAGATGTGTGTTTGAAGTAGTGGTGATTTAGACTCATTGTGATTTTGAAAATAGTAAGCAGTTACCTTTTTTTTATAGTGAAAACTCACCCTATCATTAAACCATGTAAAAAAAAATCCTATCATGAAACCAAATATAAACTATAAATAATTAAAAATGCAAGCAAAGACAGTACATAGATGTACTAAGAGTGTGTAACACTCCATGTCTGATAATTTTGAGTATAATGTGTTAACCTAGAGAAGTAATTCCAGCTAATAGATTGCAGTAGAGGTCTGCTGAAAATTTATTTTCAGGAAAATAGTTGTGGTCATAGGAAAGCAAATTTTGCTTCTATTATAAGTACCTAACATTGCATTGCATTAGGATCTCAATAGATTACAACCGTCCTAGAATAGTTATGGAAAAGGCTTGTTTCTTGTGTTTCTTTGGGTAAAATAAGCAAAGAAAAAGTAAGTTAAATTGGGTATAGAAAAAAGTGATGAATTATAATTAGTCTAGTTTCTTTGTGTCCATCACAGTGCTCTGTGGGGACAGCATAATCATAATAGAGTGTAACGGTTTAATGCAGCAGATTTTGCGCATAATCTCTCTCCCATTCATCATGCACAAACTAGCCTGTTACACAAATTCGTACGCAAATTTAATTCATCCCTGCGCACACACATGCCTTATAATACCATTTGCTGCCAGCTTATCAAAATATAAAATTAAACAATCACACCGTTAGGCACACCGCATAATTATAAATGTTTAATATATTACCTTACTCTAAATCTAATTAAGAAATAAAAAATCTTAAGACTTCAACCCCTCACATTAAAATATAATATATAATATATAGTATTTGACATTACATTCATCCATTATTTGGGAAAAGATATCGAGTATATATAAATTAAATATATAGACATGTCCATCAATTCACAATTTTGAACTTTTAAATTTTAATCGGTGTGAAAGTTGTTCATTTGAGTTTGATTTGATAAGTCAATGCAATCCATCTATAAATAAGTTCATATTGATCTTAATTTTAAAAAATAATCTAAATAAAATTAAGTTATTTTGATTTCGTCTATTAAATATAATGGATTAAATAAGTTCAAATCATGTTAACTTTTAAATTTATGAATTAATTGATTAAATTAATAAGTAAAATAATATTAATTATTGCCAATTTATAAATTTGTAATATATTATAATATAATATACTAATAGTAATAATCTTTCAGTATTTTGTATTTTTTTTATTGAGTTGTGATGATTACAAGTTTAGTGTTAGAATTATAGTGTGTTTGCATTCGAGTTATGACGTGAATTTTCACGTTTACCTTGAAGCAAAAAATATTAACTTCCACATAAAATTCACATTTGACGTGGAGAGAGAAGAAAAAATAGCATTAGAAAAATGAATAATAAACACGTACTTAGTCATTATAAGAGTTTCGTTACTCTCATTGTGTCTTTAATGACTTGACTTCATTACGCATCATCTTGGTTTTATTTGTGAAAGAAGACGAAGATACAGTCACGTGTCTATACCTATAGAGTCACAATAAAAGTAAAA